TTTCCTAAGAAGTTCCAGCTCAAAGCCAATGCCATTGAAAATATAGGAAGCTTCTAGTGAGAATGAAGCCGAGTGGTGCCAACCAGCCAAAACTCCTTTTGCAACATTTTTCCCCAAAAGGAAAACACAGAAAATGTTTATGTTTGAGTCTCTAATCACACTTTTTTAAAAAAAATCAACTGTACTAATGAACAGGGCTCATTTTAAATCCAGCAACTGGGAAGTAATTTTATGGGCAAGACACCTCTAGGCAAGCAGCTCATAGTTTTCTGTTGAATACAGTAAAAGTATGAAGACTGTAACAAAGGCTTGGTGATTTGGAGGGGGGGGAGGGAGGTGGATGGATAAAAGACAGAGGATTTAGAAAGCATTAGGAATATATCAAGCCCCAGGGAAAGAAAGGGTTTAATTGGTATTAATTAAAACACTGCTAATATATTCTAACAAAATCAAATTTGACGTTCTAAACTAATCTCCTTGGTATGTCAAAGGAAAAGAAAAGTATTATCTCATTTGCATCTCTGCAATCCCAAAGCATTGCTCATTCAGCAGAATTAATGTTTACCACCAGTCTGTTTAATCTCCTCACACATTTAGTCAAACTTATTCTTTCAAACTAAAAGGATCCAGGAAGGGAATCCATGCAGGTATTGGGAAGACTTGTGGCTGTCCTTGTCACTGGTTTCGTATTTTACTATGTTTCTTTCTCCTCAATGACTGCAATGAGGTGGGGAAATGGTGAGACTGCAGTAAGAATGATGAATAGTTCATTTTTCCTCTTTTTTTCTTCTGCCTTCCAGGGTATTTAGGAATTGCAGTTGCCAAATTATAAGAGTGTCATTTATTTACATGGCTGATGTTGGTCTGCTAATTAATATCTAATTTATTTCTAATTTCAGAATCTACTTTATTACAAATTACTAATGAAAAAAGGCTCTCAAGTCAGAAACGAATGACCCTTTCTCAGTTATTTTTAACTAAATGAAATGGGGAGGTGAATGTAAAATTTTATCCACCAAGAACTGAATTCTTTGTTTCCTTTTTAAGTTAAAATTTCTGCAGGGAAATTCACACTTTTATTAAATGGTGAGTTTTATTCTCTTTAGTGTTGAACTCTCACAATGGATAAAACTGCCCCCAAGTGACATCATAGCAAAAATATTTCTCCACGCCTTAGTCTCCCATGACTATGATATCATATGTAAATATTCGGCTAACACCAAAAATAAATAAGCTAACTATATTGAGGACCATGTATGTGTATTTGAAGGTGAGGGATTCTGCACACAATCCAGGATGTGAACTTCTGACTCACCTGCTGATGCTGCTGCCTTTCTGCCCCGCTGCCTTTCCCAGCTCCTCATGGCAAAAGAGCAGTTGCAGTTCAGTTTCTCGTGTATTGTTCCATAATCCAGGCAATAAATGCTAATTAGCAATGCTCAAGGATCTGACTATTCAGAGTAATTATCATAATTTACTTCTTCCTTGCTAAATACATTTCTTGCTGATTAAAAAAAAATTAAATTGTTGTTCTATCATTGCACTGCAGTGGGAAGCACACCAGAGAGGTGTGTGAGGTGGGGTCGGATCATTTGGGTTTCATTTAAAGTCACCGGCATGTGCCTCTTAGCTTATTCCAGATGGAATTGTAATTTATTTTCTAAAAAGGAATTCATGGAAATACACAAAGTTTTGCATGTGCACCAGGAATGTATGATTTTATTTTACAAACCCCAAGGCTCCTCCTTCCGGGCCCATCCCCTTCCTAAAATCACTTACTGAGCAGAACAAAGGAAACTGCTAACTACAGAGGCATCTCGGTGAACAGCGGCAGCATGATAAAGTCTGTGATATGACAGCACATTGCATTTCACGAAAGTGCAGTGAATTAAATCATTTAAATAGTAACCCTAATTAGCAGACAGATCTTTCAGGAGGAATCAAGAAAATGGATCCGGCCAACTTGAATAATATGCCCTGTTTCCCAAGATCACAAATGTACTTGGTTATCTGATTGGTTGAGTCACACAGAAAGAGGAGGACAAAGCCTGGTTTTCAAAATGGAGCTTTGCTCTGGCATCCTCTTTAGGGCAAATTGATCAGACATTTTATAAGAACAAAATTTAATGCAGGGCTCTCTCTTTTCAAAGATATAATCTGCTATTCAGTTGCACATTTCTTTTATCAGTTGATCTAAAATATCATCTGAAGAATTGTGAACCCCTTAGATTTTCATATAATTGCTGCAGAATATACGTGAAGCCTTCTCTACATTCTATAATGAGGCCTGTAGTTCAGATTTTTTTCTTATTGCTTGAAGCAAATAAGGATACTATGCACAGAAGGAACAGAATAAATAACCATGTTGAATATTCTATTTGGTGGAGCTTTATCTATCAAGGTTATATTCCCAGGGTCTGTTGTTCATTGGCCTTTACGGAGAACTTCCGCTTTTACTTGAGAGCTGTAAGCATATAAGAGGGATAATTCCCTTTGAATACTATACAGAAGGAGCCACCTGCAAAATGTTGATGCTCTTATTGAAATCTCAAGTGGAATCAGCTTTCAAAAAATTAGATATTAGATACATCCAATATAATTTGCAACATGTAATTATACTAAAGTGCATATAGTTGTGTGTTGCTTTACATGTTGCCTACTTGAGATTTTTTTTCCCTTTGGCATTTCTCATCATTTGACATGGATCCTGAGTAGAATGTTTTTCAAGTCAACTTAAAAAATTTTCTTGTTAATTAACATAAGAATAAAAGGACTCTATGATCTGTGTTTCATGCAAGGATGCTTGTGTGTAACCTCGATGTTGGCAATTAATCGTGTCTGAAAGAGTCGTCATTGCAGAGACTGTTGCATTATTTGTAAAATATTTGCTGCTTTAATCTTCATCTTAACTTTGGATAATTTGAAGTAAGGAAGAACACAAGAATAGTAAATATTAGTCATAAGAAATTCATTTCCTTTATTTAAATAATGAGATAACATGTCAGGGAAACGGTCTTAGGCAGAGATAATAATTTTAACCTGATCAAAGTAATCAAACTCATAATAATAATTTTCCTCCATTTTGCATGGCACGTGATTAAGAACTGAGACTCTGCCTGGGATCGCAGAAGCCCCAGCATCGGCTTCCCTTTGGGTGTCTCAGTGCAGTGGGTTCTTGGGCTACAACTCCCTCTCCGTAGAGCTGAGCCCTGAAGATCTGCTATTAGGGAGGATCCTAGGCCAAGCAGCAGCAGCGACTGGTCTGCCTGCCACTGCCACCTGCTATGTGCACAGGTGATGATGCTCTTGATGAAAATCAGAAGACTCATCACAGTCAGGTCACAGAAGAACCTGAGCGACCAGTGCCAGGGCCCCAGTTTATGTTTATATGTTCAGGAGACCAGATTCCAAAGGATGCTCATGCTGAGATGACACAGGGTCTGACTTCATCCCAATTAAGTAGGCATGGACGCCAAGGAAAGCTGATTTAAGCATTTGACTCATAATACACACCTAGAATATGGTGGTTTACTTATCTATACTTCAAATTTATTTTAAAAGAGGGGTCCATATTCTAAAAGAGACATTTCTGTGGGCTATATCTATGATGCACCAAAGCAATACATTGGTTTACTTTTCATCTAGGCTTTCTATTAAGTTACCCAAAGGAGTAAAAAATAGTGCGAAACATCTTTCCTTAACACAATAGCATTTTAATTTATTCACAAATAAGTCTACCATACATGTAGCAAAAGCTTAGCGCCCCACCCTCCACTCTGTGTTCACAACATAATGAATTCTAAAATATGTAGGATGCATATTTTACTTAACTACTCATCTAGGATCCATTCTTGCATGCTTGGTCAGAACAGAAAAATACCTATAACAGCACCAGGTTATTTTACAGGTTCCGGAGCAAATGTATGTTATACTTGCCATCTAGAGAGCCAAGGTCTTTAATGTATCCCAAGTGTCTAGGGCAGAAAGCAGTGACAGGAGGTGGAATATCTCTTGGTGTACGTACCTAAGTCATTATGCATCCTCAGTGTGTGAGCTTAATGAAGAGGCTGACAATAAAGGGTTCAGTTAAATTAAAATCCACCTGCAAAGTATACTTCATTCATAACATCTATTGTGTAATAAAAGAAATATTAATACAGCTCTTCCCAAACATTCTGATCTGTAAAATGCGTGGGATGGGTTCGTTGGTCTCTAACTCTTTTAGCTCCGAGAACTTGTGAAGCTGCTCTAAAGTAGAGGTACAGAACACGCTGGGGCCCTTGACTCTGGAGGTATTGTATTAGGACTTGTCCTTTAAAGTTATATTCAATTCCACCTCCAGGTACTGTGTTTACTAACATGTAGTTGTTTTGATGCTAAAACAGTAAAGTTCATTTTTAGGAAAGGCAGTGGCAGAGAGAGGAACAGCTGGAGAATGAAAAATGCTCTCAGTTCTAAGCCCACTTCCTGCAACATAAGCATAGAAGAAACCCAGACAAGCACCTGCCTCCCTATTTTATTTATTAAAAATCTTTATTGTTGAAAGTAGTACATATGTCCCCGTTTTTCCCCCATTGACCTCTTCTAGCCTGCCCCCAACCCCTACCACTGGCCTTCATCACCCTATTGTCTGTGTCCATGGGTTATGCATATATGCATACAAGGTCTTTGGTTGATCTCTTCCCACTCACCCACCCACCCCCACCTTCCCTCTGAGATTCCACAGTCTCTCTATTTTAAGAGCATATTCTTTAATTCCTATGCCTTCATTTAATTTCTTGCTATATGGTTTGCTTTTCTCATTGGGCTGACATCTTTGAATTTCACCTTTCCCTTTCCACTTGATTTATTCGAATCATGTTAATATTCCCTTCAAAAGTCTACAATAGTTATATTAACACACCACACTTCTAAAATTAAATCTTAATATGTTCAAAACTCCTGAAATTTGCTTTGCCCCACTTTCTAAAACCACTCAAATATATCATCTTTTTTTTTTAAATTAACCAAGCCTGTTTCCCCTGGCTTCCAAGTCTTTGAACTTGCTCGCATGCTGTTTTTCCTCTCTGTACACTCTATGCCTCTGCCTCTTCCACACCTCAGAAACCTTTCTTTTATTTCTTGCTTTCTTTCCTGCCCTCCTCCCTCATTCTTTCTCTCTCTTTTTCTTCTCTCCCTCCCTCCCCCCTTCCTTTCTTCCTTCCTTTCTTCCTTTTGTTCCTCTATTGGGCATGAGCCAGGCACTATAAATTTAAATACAGGAATTGACATTAACTCCTAGCAACTCTGGTGGCTTCAATCATTCCTGCATTGCTGAGGACTTATGTACCCACAGTTATTTTATTTTGCATTTACTCTTTAGCTATTTGAACGTGTCCCTAATGTCCTGCTGTTGGTTCTCTACATGCCCTATTTCAGTAAGTTGCCTGTGGGATTCACCTGAAGCTTTTCTTACAGGACATTTTCTCCGGGGGGATTAGCATGGTGCCCTCACACAGGCCCACAGAGCTGTGGCTGGTCTTGAGCCAGGGGGACAATAAGAAAGGGCTACGTTTTCCTGGTGATGTGGTCTTCACATAGATAGGAATAGCAGGGAGCTAAAGTATCATTGTATGTATTTATGTTTATTGAATACTCAATGTGATGACTTTCTGTGACATGTTCTGTTGTGTTTTTTAGTTGTGTTGATGTTCCTTTCAGCTGGTCCTATGGCCCTCAGGAAGGTTCAAAGACGACAGAGAGAGCCGCCCATGGATGCCCAGGCCACTCAGAAGTTGAAACAAAGTCATTACCTGAGGACACCTCTCCTGCTCAGCAACACACTCTTCTTTTTTTAAAATATATTTTATTGATTTTTTACAGAGAGGAAGGGAGAGAGATAGAGAGTTAGAAACATCGATAAAAGAGAAACATTGATCAGCTGCCTCCCGCACATCTCCCACTGGGGATGTGCCCACAACCCAGGTACATGCCCTTGACCTGAATCGAACCTGGGACCTTTCAGTCCGCAGGCCGACGCTCTATCCACTGAGCCAAACCGGTTTCAGCTCAGCAACACACTCTTACAACATGTGGCAATCCCTTCAAGAAACAGAGAAACTTAAGAATGGCATCTAGATTTTTTAAAATTGGTTGAGAGAGAGAGAGAGAAAGAGAGAGAGAGAGAGAGGCGGGGTTGGGGGAGAGAAACAGACGGGCAGACACACAGAGAGAGACTTGGTGTCCCACTTATGGATGCATTCATTGGTTGATTCTTGTATGTACCCTGGCTGGGATCGAACCCACAACCTTGGCATATCAGGACCACACTCTAACAAACTGAGCTACCCGGCCAGAGCTCATGCCATCTAGATTTTTCATGAGCCAAAAACATTTCCTTCCTCATTTGTATTCCTCTGCTTGAATTTAAATTTAATGTGACATTTATTTTTTTTAAGTCTTCCTAGTATAAATTTGCTTATGAATGCACCAATTTTTAAAATAGAAATTGCACAAATGTGTTAATATTTTAAGGAACATTAATGCTCTAAGTAGATTGATTTTTAGCCACACACAAAGTGTGACCTTAAGAGTGACCTAAAGAATATAAAGTACTCTTGAAATAACAGCAGTGAGAGGCAATCCAAAAGGTAAAATAATGGGGGGAAGTCATAATGCAACATAGAAATACCATGTTATCCTACCTGACACCAACCAAGCAACCATTCTTTTTATTCAGCAATCTAGGACCTGTGAGATACAGTCACTGCTTCTAACCAGTAAATCCAGTCAGACAGAAGGACATAAGCTTTTGAAAAGATAAATAACAACTCAGGTCAATAGATGGCAAGACCCAAACCCAACCCAAAACAAATGATTTAAACAAGGAACTCCGAGAAGGTCAGCAGAAGCAGGATAAAACTGGTCTGTTCAGAGAAGAAAGTCCCCCTAAAGAGAAAATTATGAAGTGAGTCTTAAAGGATGTTAGAGAATTAGATAAATGGAAAGAAAGGAGAAAGAGTGTCTTTTTGATGCATTATTGTGAGAGCAAACGCACACGCACACGCACACACAGCTGTCTCATCCCAGGTGTTGCCTAGAATTACAATTGTATTTCTTTGCCATTAAAGCAATAGAGTGACTGGGAATAGTATGAGAGCTTGTGATTATTCTGTTAACCTAATAATAATAGGTATTTATTGAATTCTCACTATATGTTAAGCATTTATGTTGGCTCACTTAAGCCTCACAGCAATTCAGCAAAAGAGGTATTATTCCCATTTTATAGGTTAAGAAAACTGAGGTTTAATGAGGTTAAGTAACTTGCTAAATAGACAGTACAGAGTTCACATCCAGAATTGCAATTGCAAAACTCATAGCCGAAGGCTGCGACTTCCAGCCGTCGCACTGCCAGGATGTGTAAACCATGCAACACCTGACTAGTCAGTCAGGGCACTGCCCTCCTTCCCCTTAGACTGTCAAGTTAAAAAATGACAGCCAAAACAATAGTAGCCATCCCACGTAAATGAATCAAAATTAACCTATATTTTTGTCAGATTGGCAAAAAAATGTGATCTATTTTTGGTGTGTTGCAGAATTTTAGTAATTAGTTTATGTGTGCCATGAGATGAAACAGGTTGAAATCCCTGATCTAAGGCCTGAAGTTGCAATATTGCAATCATTACATTACTACTTGATATTTTTTTGTGGTAAACAAAGAGCTATTTCATTTGATTATCCCTTCAAATTTTTCAGATTTCTGGTTAAGTTACACTAGAGTGATAGAATGTATTTTCCTAATAGAAAATTGAAATAATTGGGGAAGAGAGCATATCAATATTTTAGGCTTTTTTTTTCTTCTTTTGCCAGACTTTGATGAGATTCTTCAATTTTGTCTGCATAGAATCTCAAATTCTTGAAATGAAAAAAAATGGGTTAGTAATGATTAAAGGTCAGTTAATGCTACGTCCTTTTCCACAGGTGAGACAGGGGCTCACGGAGACCATACATTTACGTTCCCCCAGGCTAATCACAGAGGCTGAGCCACCTGCCCTGCTGAAACCAGTCATGAACTTGAATTTGATTAGTGGAAACATTTTATCTCAGAGATCTGGGAGCCTTGTACCTAGTAGATTGTTTCAATTTTGCACCACCTCTTTGGCTTCCCAGGTTAATGTGAAAAAGAGCTAGCTGTGAACTAACTATCGTTTTTAGATCCAGAAACTGTCAATGGTCCCTGGCCAGTTTTCTCAATGGTTAGAGCATCAGCCCATGGACCAAAGGGTCACAGTTTCGATTCCTGGTCAAGGGCACCTTGGTAGCAGGTTCCCCAGTCCCAGTAGGGGTGCAAGCGGGAGGCAACCAATCAAGGTATCTCTCTCACGTTGATGTTTCTCTCTCCCCCTCTTCCTACCCTTCCAATCTCTCTAGAAATCAATGGTAAAAATATCCTTGGGTGAAGATTAAAAAACAATCATATAATGGCCCAAGTTATTATGTGCAATATATTCAATGACATTCTTAAGGTACTTGAAATCTTAGTTCACCTAAACAAATCCGATCTTCTAAGTATTTTCTTAAACAATTTCGTGCACAGTATGTATTAATAAGTGCTTCTGCATGAATATTTACATATGAATTTCAATAGTCCTTCAATTTTTAAAAATGTCAATGGTTATTTGCTATTTTAATCCTCAGTTATCCATGTATCAACTCAAGAATACTTCAGCCATAAAAAACCTAGAATTAAGGAAATTTCACTCTTCTTTACCAGTCCCTTTGCATTTAGTTGGCATTTAGTAATGATTAATAAAATGGTCAGCTGGCCCAGCCGGTGTGGCTCAGTGGTTGAGCATTGACCAACAAACCAGGAGGTCATGGTTCGATTCCCAGTCAGGGCACATGCCCGTGTTGTGGGTTCAATCCCCAGTGTGGGGCATGCAGAAGGCAGCTGATCCATGATTCTCTCTCATCATTGATGTTTCTATCTCTCTCCTTCTCCCTTCCTCTCATTAATCAATAAAAATACATTTTAAAAAATAAATAAATAAATAAAATGGTCAGCTGGATGACACAGAGATTCAAAACACAGTTGTGTCTTGAAGGAACCCGTGAAGTGGGGTCCACTTCAGGACCAGCATCTCGCTTGGGACACCCAATAAGAGATGCTGCACATCTCCTCTTAGACACCTGGCATTGTCAGACTTAGAGCTCCTCATGGCTGAGCTCGGCCTGTTTTCCAAATGGCTATTGGCCTTATTTCACCCAGGGCTCGTTCAATGAGTTCATAAATAAACAGGGTTTTTTAAAGTAGCCAAGCACAGAATATGATTTTGTTGGCATTTTATGAGGCTTTGTTATATGTCCCTGGAACCCCCAATAAAAAGAATCTTGCATTCACTGTGAACTTGTGTTTGTTTCCTGGAAGAGCATGCCCTCGTGATGAGGCACACACAGAGCTAGCTTCAGGGTCCAGGGGGAGCAAGTAACCTAACATGATAGGAAATTTTCAATTCAAAGACAATTCCTAAATGACCCCATGCTGCCTTTCCATGAATGCCACTGTCATCTACCCAAGTCAGACACGAAGGAGTGATCCTCGTCTTTCTCTTTGCACCTGTCATGGCCAGTTCATCAGGTAAATCCTTTTATTTTTCTTCTTCCTGTTTTCAAATACGTCTGTGTCTCTCCACCTTCCACATGGCTTTAGTTAAGACAACCCTCACTTCTGATCCAGATCAGGCATCCGACCTCCAGTTTTTCCTCCTACGCTGCCAAGTGGTAACCAGGAAAATCTCCCTAAGGCACAAATATCATCATTTCGCTCACAGTGTCCAACATTTTTATTGGATCCCTATTGCCTTTGAAATAGCATGACACACAAAACCCTTCCTGTCCTGGATCCTGGCCCAACATTCCTCTCCTTTCCAACATTCTTTTCAATGTTGCTGCCACACACACTTGCCATTTCTTAGTGCTCTTTTATATCCTGTGCTTTCTCACACATCCGAGCCTCTGGGTGGCTCTCGCTCCACTCCCCCTTCCCGACTCTGCATCTCGCCCCTCGGGTCTCATCCTGGAAGCCGTTTCCTCTCAGGAGTCTTTGCCTCAACCATCCTGCCATCACCCCTCGGATTCGCTTCTTTCATCGGTGCTTCCATAGCCTTCTGTGCATCCCTCCTATTAGCACTGATCACCCAGATGATGATAATGTACGAGCCAGTCTTCCCCATTTGAATATGTGATTCTAGAGTTGCCTTGTTCAATAGAGTCACCACTTGCCATATGTGGCTACTTCAATTTAAATTAACCTAAGTAAAGTAAAAAATTTAATTTCTCAGGTGCACTAGCCACATTGTAAGGGCTCAAAGGCCACGTGACTAGGTGCCCCGTCTTGATCAGTGTAGGTAAAGAGCAATCCCATCTCCAGGAAAGCTGTCCAGGACCAGGCTGTTCTGAAAGACAGGCACTGAGTCTCCTTTGTCACTGTACCCCTGGCACTGGCAGCACTTCCTAGCGGGAGCTTGCTCTCTGAACCCCAGAGCAAAACAACCAGGTGAGTGACTCTTCTCAATTCTTTCAGGAATGATATAGCACTAAAAGTATACTATATGCATGGGAAGTAAACTAATGTATTCCATGTAAAGATGCCCAGGGTATTAAGGTTTAATTTTAGCATGAAGCCCTCACTGAGAAAGTCTCCTGTAGACTATCACAAATGTCAGTGCCTTATAAGTGTTGGCTGAGTAAGGATATGACACAACTGAACACAGAGATTTTGTTTTGTGTGTTTTGTGTGGAGTCATGTAGGGGGCATGTCTAGATTCCCAAGGGTCTCCTCTCTAGAGGATATGAGGATAGATGATTTCCTCTCTTTCATCCCAAGAATAGTTGAATTGTGTCACTGCAATAGGATTGCCCATTATTTCACTTGACTTTGTTTATGCTGGGAAACAAAAATAGAGAATTGAGCTGTTATTCAGTGAGTAAGATCAAAGTGAAAATGATCAAAGTAGTTATCAGATTTGATAAGACTATGTCTTTTTAGGGAATTGCCAAAGTTCACTTATACTGTTAATTATTTCCCGAGCACCTACTATGCACCAGACACTTTGTTAGGTACTGAGGATACAGAAAGGAACAATATGGACACAATTCCTGTGCTCAGAGTGAAGTAACATTATTATTTCAGTTCCTC